TTGGGGTGGAGCTGGTTATGAGGGATGTTACAAACTTACCAACGAGAAATTTGCCAACGTAAGTCCTAACCTTGATTATTCACTAGTCAACTTCCTGAATATTACCTAGGTCTTCTACAAGGTATGCTAGTTATGGATGCCATATTTTGTGTTTACTTATAGGTCTGGTAGAACAACATTGCTGGAGGTGCTAAACTCCAGAATCTGTACATGACATTTGGTAAGCCGAAACTCCCCAAAAAGTGCTCTGTGACTGACGGCATATTAAAAGGTGGAACAAACTGGGGTAACATCGCAACAGAGTCTGTTTATTCAAGTGAGTGGTCATGGACGCTTTGACAACAGCAAACTCAACCATTGCATAGGTTATGATTATGGAGCAGTAAGTTCTCCTACAAGTCTGTTCCCCATCTAATTCTGTCTAGCCAATCAGGGAAGATCGAACCATCACAGGTAAATTGCAAGAAATCAAAGTACAATCGTACTTCCTCCACGCTAGTCCAGCATACCTGACCGCGGACTATGTCGGCGATGGAAACTGGCAAAATGGGACATCTTATAGCGATTCTCATGACGTCTATACCACTGTATGGCATGAAAATCAGTCCAAGACCAACTTCTATATCGTTAGGCAAAACACCAACACCAAGCTCGACGTTACCGAATTCAAGTTGCGCGTCAACTCGACTGTGTTAGGACAGGGTGTCACGTTACCTTCCTCTGGGTCGCTGATTTTAGATGGAAGGGAATCTAAGGTCATCGTGACGGACTACAAGTTCGGATCCTCTAACTTGATCTTTTCAACTGCAGAGGTTCTGACGTGGGAGACATTTGATGGAGTAAGAGACCATTCCTATCGGTCGATTCATCGCTCATATACTTTTTAGGTCGATTATATCTATCTTTATACAAACCCCTCAGCCAGCGTTGAAATCTATGTCGCATCCAGCCGCATCACTTCTAACAACTCTGTTCCGGCTGGATTCAGTGTTAATGCTACAAGCTCCGTACGTATTATCTTGCTCCTAATAGATTCTAAGCTAATATCCTGTAGTATACTGTTGTCCGCGCGGCTGCGAACCGACCCAACATCATCTCAGCCATACCTTTGGGCTCAGTGACACTCGTAATTGCCGACAAGTCCGTAGCACTCCAAACCTGGGCCCCTCGCACCAGTATCGCCAACAATTTCGCTCGTTATAACCCCGTTCCTGGTGTCCCAGGTGTATGGGTCCTTGGACCTCTTCTAGTCCGCACTGCCAGCCTTAACAGGGGAACCCTTGCTTTGGAAGGTGACATTGATAAAGCCTCTTCTATTGACATTTGGGGCCCTTCGAGCATCAGCAAAGTTACCTGGAATGGAAAGAGCGTCAGGGTCTCGAAGAATAAGCAACTGCAATCACTCCATGGAGACCTCTCGATGGATGTCAACAATGTGAATGTCCCTAAACTGTCTGATCTTACATGGAAGTGCCAAGACAATACGCCGGAGGCCAACCCCGAGTATGATGATTCAGCTTGGGTGGTTGCAAATAAAACGAGCACTGCTCGACCATATCAGCCATTACAAGGAAAATATGTCCTCTACGGTGAAGAGTAAGTACTCTTGCGGCGACAGTTGGCAGTTCTAACTACTTTACAGATACGGATACTACTACGGTGAATGGGTATGGAGAGGCCGCTTCGATGGAAATGCAACGGGTCTTCAGCTCGCTGTCTCAACGTACGTGTTCTGTATCTGTACCTATTACCTCGGTAATCTGAATCACTATTAGTGGGTTCTCAGGAGCTATGACTGCTTATCTCAATGGTGTCCCTCTCGGTTCTGCGCAGGGCAGCTCGATTGGATGGTCAGGTGTTGATGTCCAGGAAGCTAATTTCACGTTCGCGGCTAGTACGTTGCGTAAGAGGAACAACGGTTAGTGCATGGTCCAACTCTCAATTCGTCGACTCACTGTGATTTCTAGTCGTTACCGTCTATCATGATTCTACTGGCAAGTCCTCTGAGTCCCATCTCGAGCCAATCTAATGAATTGCATCAGGCCTGTCTTCCGACTATAACGTCAACGACGAATTCAAGGTACGATGTTTCTAGACTTCTCCGTGATGGCTTATCTTACACCTATCAGAAACCCCGTGGTATTCGAGGGTACAAACTCCTCTCCGATAACGGGAATGATTTCACTAAATGGACCGTCGCCGGAAGTCAGTCTTTATAGTCTGCTGGAACCGGATTCATTCTAATCTTCCTTAGATTACGGTCGCGAAAATCCCCCAGATACGGTTCGCGGTCACCTCAACGAGGGAGGCTGGTATTACGAACGTGTTGGAGCACATCTTGTGCGTTTCTTATCCTAAAAAAAGCTGCCGCTTATACTTAATCCATGTACTTTTAGCCCGGATACGATGATTCATCGTGGAAGAAGTGCTCTCCATATCAAGGTCGCAACTCCACTGGTATCACAGCATATAGGACAACCTTCAACCTCAACATCCCTGACAATGCTGATGTTCCACTTGCATTCGAGTTTGAGCTCGACGAAAGCCAGCAATACCGCTCAGTGATTTGGGTTAATGGCTGGCAGTATGGAAGGTAACCTTGTTCTCCTTTGGAATAGGCTCATCAATATCTGACTCGGGATGTAACGCAGATTCTCTTCAGACTTGGGACCGCAAACAGTGTACCCAGGTATGTCCATTTCATTGATGATAGAACCATCGTCTCACAAACTTCTAGTCCCTGAGGGAATCCTGAACCATCAAGGTCGCAACGAGATTCTTGTCACTTTGTGGTCACTCAGTATGTCTATGTCTCATTATTAGTTCAGGCAAAATTGATTGACCTGTCTATTAGATGGTGCAGCAAATATGAAGAAGTTTGAGCTCAACAAACGAGCTGTTCTGTCCTCAGCGAAGACCTCACGAATTGGTCTCGTTCAAGCTCCCAGATGGTCTGATCTTCGTCGCTCCAAAGCGAATTAAACGTGAGAAATGTAGTCTCTATCGCTCATTTAAATACCATTCCTTTACCTTGTGATCACTCTCCTGGTGGTGCTTCACAGAATGATATCATGCTGGGTCAACGTGGAAAGAAATAAGGAATCTGATCAGCTACGCTATTCTACGAATTCGTCTTTGTTGTTGCCTGCCTCCTGAGTAAGGAACTGAGATGCCGGAGTGCCTCCCCGGCCCGTCGTCCCATTGGCTCTTCTGCCGGGCAATACTCTCTCACAAGGACCATAATTCGATGGATATCGTGCAGAAAATCAGAAGTTTTGCGAATGGTTTCCTGAATCCGGTCCATGGCACGGACCCGCCTAGATCCAAATAGGCTCAGGTGGTCAGTTGACTGGACGCCCCCCGCGCTTCTCTCTCAACCGCAAATCCTTACTAACGAACGGTGAACGAAATTTAGCGGCTTACCCGGTATATTTCTGACTACTCATGCGAACTTGTTCTTTGAGAAGATACCCTATTCTGCACGGGTTTCGTTCATCGGTGCATCATAACTTTCT